TTGACCATGCACTATTTTTTACTTCCCACACCTCTTTCAGCATCTAGCTATGTGAATTTGTGGAAGGTTGCCTGTCAGAGACCTGTAAAGAATTAATATATCTTTAACTGGCAGCTACTAAATTTGAGAATGTTCTTAAATGCAAAAAAATAATAATAAAAAAAAAAGCTCCAGAATAACACCCGTCTTTCTCCCCCAAAAAAACCAAACCAATGAGTGCAAAGAATTAAGTTTCACTAGTTGGATTTAGATTTTTCCTCACATTGTTAGCACATTGGTGTACTCTATGATGTGAAATGCTATTTTTCTAGCTGTTTAATTTTTAATAGGTAGGACATTAATCAGATATTAACCAAATCAGATATTTTTGATTAAATGCAATTATTTTCATAGTAAGGGGTAAAACTTTATTTTAAGTCTTCAGTCTAAATTCTTAGTATGGCTGCTAGCCATGAAAATATTTTAACTTCAGTAGCCTGAACGTTCCTATGCTCAGCTCTGCTGGTAATATAAGAATACCTTTGGGTTACTAATCCATAAAAAGTTAGTGGTTTTGTTATAGTTATCCTGATTGTAGTTACTTTTGTATTTTTTGCTTTAACTACTACACTTACTTATGCTAAACATGTAAAGTTGGATAGAGAGCACTTAAAATAAAGCATACCTTTTTCAGTTTAAATTCATCTCCAACATCCAGGTGTTTGATAAGACTCTTATAAGATTGTTTAATTTAAATGATAATTAAAGATTTACTTATCTAACACTTTAATTTTTTCATTAATATATGAAATGATTGTAGTATCTTATTCTTAATTAGCCTCATACCTTAGTTATATGCATTAAAAATCCTAATACTGTTAAGTGAACTAACTTCTTTCTTATGTTAACAATTTTTGTTAATTATTTTTTCTTTTCTTGCAGCAAGGAGCAAATAATGCAGAAAAATTTGACTATGTAAGTTAATCTTATAACATTCCTTTCTCAACTAAATTCAGTGGTAAAAGTCTCAAGATGGCAAGGGAATTGCAAGTGAAATTTTGTTAATTTCAAATGTTTTGTCATTTTGTCTGTACTTGGTTCTTTAAGTGCTTAGTGATTTGGATTGCATTTGTACAATTGTGTTACAAAATTTCGGGTGAGGCTGGATTGGAAGTTCATCAATTAGAACTTTTTAATGTCTGAAAATGTTAGCATGCTTTTTCCCTCCTCCTTTCTGTCTCTAACAGGTGATGCAGTTTATGAATAAAATGGCTGGTAATGAGTATGTTGGATTCAGTAATGCTACGTAAGTATTTTGTATTTACTTAATGAAGCTAGATGGAGAATACCTCAACTGATAGCTGACATACTGAGCTTATGGCAAAGTTTAGTTATTTCCATTGCAACCATCATTTTGTTCCTAATATTGGAGGGTGTCTTTGGTTTAAAATTTACAAGAACTAAAATTGTGCGTGTCTCTGACATCCATGTGGCTAAATCTCACATAATGGTGTTGGTTTCATCTTTGAAATTTCATTGTGTCTTAGTGCTCTGTTGGTGCTATGGCAGAGAGCTGTAAGTGCAACTCTTATCATGCTGGCATTCATATTAAAAATTAAACTCTGCATGTTAATGACTTCGTATCAAGTGTTTAGAAAGCGTACTTTATACTGGAACTGTTTAGGCTTTTTTTACTTTCCATATTTAAAATCTTTTCTAAAGCAATTCCCCCCATTAACTCAATGTATAGCATTCCAAAAATCTTGACAGCTTTTTGAGGCAGTGCTGGGAGAATCACAGATTCCATATAGCAGAGTTGCTTCCAAGTTGCTAGTTGGAATGCATGTGCAGGGAAGCAGAATGAGATAACTGTGTTTTTCCTAAACTTTGATAATGAAAAAGTGTTTAACACGGGATGAACCAGACAGGAGAGAATTACCTACCCTTGTATCCATACAGATTCCTTTTTTGGGTTTCATGCGGAACTTAATGATCACAATAAACAGTGCAGCCCTCAGCCTGGTCTCTATTTGACCTGCAACCTGATCCTCAGATTCCTCTCTAGCTTGGTCTGTGTTGTCAGTGAACAGCCCTTTGGTACAGCTCATTATGGGATGTTTCATTCCACTGTTGCCGTTTTAAAAACACTTCTAAGAGTAGGATCTCACACTCCTTTGCCTTATCTCCAGGTCAGCTTATGTATGTGTAGGTAACCAGTACTGTGTATTCGGATATCAAACCTAATTCACTCCAGCTGGAGTGTACGGGGGTGAGCTTCTGTGGCAGTTTCTGTCCCATTAGAATGTTTGTGTTCATAAGTAATGTATCCTTTACATGCAGCTTAACTGAATTACATTATGTGTCTCTGAAGTTCAATGTTTTTTTGAAAGTTTGATGTGCTGTCTTGTCTTTTTTAAATTTTTTTTTTTTTTTAATTTAAGGTTCCAATCCGAAAGAGAGAGTGGAGATAGAAACTTTGCAATTGGCTATTACTTGAAAGAAAAAAAGGTTGATTTCTTTTGTTTATTGTATTTTGAAGTCTGTGTGGTGGGGTTTTTTTCATAGCCTGTGAAGATTTTTAATTTATTTAATGTACAGTATAAGTTATTCTAATACTGCATATTTTTTCGTACTTTTACTCAAGATGCTGTCATTTAGAAAGTGTGATAGTTATGTCATTCTAATAGAATACCTGTAATCCTTTTTCTGTATCATAGTAACGATAATTTGTTTTATTTGTCATAAAAAGCATAATCTGTGATGTATGGATGACTTCATAAAACTCCTAGATACGTTTTGCAGTCTGCTCATTTAAAGACGTAGAAAGCTTTACTGAAAAGCATTTTAGCACCTAGCTTGTTGGCCTCACTGCACTGTTATTTTGAAATCTGACATGATTTAATATTTTTACTTGTTACATTTTAAAAAAAATTAATTTTAAATCTGCCTAATGCTTAAAATGCTGACAAGAATATGGCTTAACTTATGTCTCTCTAAAAGTGCTATTTAAAAACAATAATCATAATTTTACCTAAAGGTCTTTTTTTCTTCCTCAGTGCTTTCCTGAAGGCACAGATATGGTTGCTATACTAGACTTTTATTTTCAGGTAAGTGACTTTAAAATTGAGACTCACTATAGACTTAGAATTACTTTCATAAGCAGCAGAAATAATTTGTTCATAGACATGAAGGTTTTAATGGCTTGTAGTTAAACTTGTCATCTTCTGTTAAGCTCTGTTTGGAAATGCATGATGTATGTTTGATGTACCCAGACTTGCTTTTGTTTGGTGATGTAGTTAGGTGTCTATTCCTATTGCAAGCTAGCAATAGTCTTTAAAACACTAGTAGCTGGAAGCTTAAAATGTCTTGTGTTACTTCATTGAGTTTGATAAAATATTTCTGCTTCTTTGAGTTGCTGTTCTTTATTGTACTGTGAAGTACTTTAAACTCCATGTGTAACTAAAATTGTGTATGTATGCTCTATTGTAATCTTAGGGCAGTGTTGTAAGTGAAACAGTATGAATCTCCTCCTTTTTTGTTTAATTCAATGCTTATTAGTAGAACAAAGAATCTAGCCATATATATTGTCCCCCCTCCCACATTTTTTTTTCTTTTTCACTTTCAGCAAGTTATTTGAAACTGTCACAAAATGAGAACTTGGCAAGTGTGAGGTATTTCCTCAGTAAGGGTTTCATAATGTTAAAACATTCACAACTCAGCTCTGCAGCATGTAGTTCTCAAGAGGCAGTTCAAGTTGTGTTACTGATTCAGTGTGTCTGGGATAGTTTAAAAAAAAAAAAATCCAGAGTTTAGTTCTCAAAATTAATCTGGTTTTGATTCATGAGACTTGCTCTTATGCAAAATATAAACAATAATTTTTAAATGCAAATTTTATCCTTTTTTTTGTATTGGGATGCATCTGCTCTAATATTTAAATTCAATGACTGTTTATGAAGTAAGGTAGATGTGATTAGCCTTAGTTGACCTCTTGTTGAGTTGGAAACTACGTAGAAGCTAGTAGTCTACTCTGAACTTCTGTTAATTACAGAACAAAACTGATAATTTATTTCAAATTGCTGTTTAAACATACTTTTTAAATCCTTCCTATCCCACTGCCTCAAGTCCTGATACACTTCTGAGTACGAAGCTATTCGTAAGTTAAGAAATGCCAAGCCTAGCTTTTCTGATGTATTTTAGTTCACCCTTATTTTTGTGCATTATAATATCTAATTTCATGACTGCGTGTCATTCTTTCTTTTTTCCTTGCAAAATTCCCTTTTCACTCTATAATTGGAAAAAGGGCAGCTCATACACGAGCAGCAATTCTGTTTTCTTTTCTTCTCTCTGTACAACGCTTACTTTCCAAGACCCTACCCAGATTCTACTTAAAAGGCTAGTTATTTTCTTTTTCTTTGGGTTTTCTGTAATGCATCTTCTTCCCTTGTGTAACTGGGAACTTTCTGAACAGGAATAAAGTTATTTTCCTATTGTCTCTGTAAAGTGAGGATGGATTATTCTCATTTTAGAGGTACAAAATGCAGGTGCTTAAATGGAGAACCTAGAAACACTTTTTTCAAAGTAGGTGATATTATGTAATACTTCATATGTTTAAAACACAGTTGCCATTTTAGATGCGTCTCTGACAATCTCTTGATTTGCAACTCCAGTTGATTGGACTAGGATGTATTGAGTTTGGCACCCGGAAAATAAGAATTCCAGGTAGTAACTACTCATGCAAACTTGGCTTAGGTAACTTCATGAAGTATCATGTAATGACTGTTTGGGAAAAACAAGAATACAACCAGTAGTTTGTTTACTTTTCAAGTTAGCATTTCAGCCTCAGGTTGAAACCAGCTTATCTTTTGGTTTCTGCAGAAATGAGGCAGCATCAGGTGATGGCATCATATCACATTTGCTGATGTGTCACCAAAGTATGTATAGTCTGTACTGAAGCAGGGATCCTGGGAGAAACTATTGTGTGGTCGTATCATTAATTTATCAAAAGGCATATATGAGAGAAAGGTGAAATAATTTAGGAAGTGCTGGCGTTAAGACTTGCATGTGCTAGAGTTTGCATCTTTAAAATGTACGTTTAATAGATGTGTGTGGTCTTCTTCTAAGGTTTTAAAAAAAAGCCACACAAAACAAACCCAAATTGCAAAAAAACAGTCATTCTGTGGCTTTGCCATTTAAACAGATGCAAAATACTGAGATTGTTTTCCAGACCTCTTCCTCTCAAAGCAACATAAGGGAGGGCGGGGGGGAGGAATCAGGCAGAGACACTAACCCATGTAAAATAGTATCCCAAACAATTAAGAGGGCTTACAAACACTGTTGCTGGGATCTTTATAGTAGGAAGATGCAGACCATATAAATGGATGCTACTAGCGTGACCTGTAACAAACATTATGCTACAGGTTATTTTATGAAATGTTATTTCTATAGAGATATATTGTTGATCCTGCTATAGTTGGCCTTATTGTGCTAGAAGCATCGGTTCTTATAATCTCAATTTCTTTTTCATAAGCTTTGCTCAATAGAAGTCACATGTGAATCAGCAAGCGTGATGGCAGCAACTCTGGCTAATGGTGGCTTTTGCCCCATCACTGGTGAAAGAGTACTGAGTCCTGAAGCGGTCCGGAATACCTTGAGTTTAATGCATTCCTGTGGCATGTATGACTTCTCAGGGCAGTTTGCCTTCCATGTAAGTAGTTTTCAGCTGTTAATTGTAGCTGACCAGGAAGATTAATCTGTGCTATTAGTTTCCATGTACCAGGGCTGGCTTGCTTGCTTCTGGATTAAGGCAGGGCATGTTGCATTAATTGTTTAGAAATTGAACAAACCGTATGGGAAAATCGCACCTAGAATTCATGGTACAACTAGTACACCATATCTTATAGTAGTTACTATTCTCTGCCACTGCACTTCACCTTTTCATGTTGAACCGTAAATACTGTTTAAGAGAGGCTGTTTATGAGAGAAGCAGGTGGTTGATGCAGATGTAACTGGAAACAGCATAACTGAAGAAATCCTGCCATATGGGAGTAATATAGTAATATGGGAATAATATAATTTTCTGCTATCCTTAGCAGAAAGCCTTTGCAGACAGTTGCTTTTTCTTTATTGGCTCAGGCTGTTGTGTTAATTGTTCTCATGTGTTGTAAAAGTGGCTGTCATACACAGCACATGTACCATGCTTCTATTTTCCAGCAGTACGTTTCTTATATGCAAGTATTTCAAGATGTACTGCATCTTATTGTTTTCAGCATTTTGTTTTGAGTGTTATTAGATTTTCCTCATTGCATGCATGTAAAATGGATTATCATGCTTTGTGAGACCTAAAAGTTACTGTTTACTGAGTTCTGGGGATATGTGACATGTTAGTTCTTCTTGGAAAAAAGCAAAACCTTTATCCAGATTGTAAATAAATAGGTTAATGTATGACTTTATGAACAGAGTCTTTCGTTTTCTTTTTTTTTTGGTTTTTGCCTTTTCCAGTCAAGGTGTTTTAGTGTATTTAGCTTTGTACTACTCCCTTGTTGCAAACTGTTCCTGACAGATACACTTGTGTACTACTCCAGAGTCATAATTGCTTTTTTTTGTAGTAGATTGGAATTATCTTTTTCACTGCATTACTGACTCTCTGTGTTACTGAGAGCACATAACTTTATGATCGCATTCCTCAGATTGCCACAAATTGTGCTTTAGGTTACTGTCTATCTAAAAAGAGATAAGTAATAATGCTTTCCCAGATTAAATTACTTTCCAGATCTACATTTTACAAATGCTGTGTAATAATCGTCAGTAAAATGCTAACGTGTTACAATAGTGAAGAATGTTTGCAGAGGATGGTAACTGTCTAATTATTCTATAGGTTGGTCTTCCTGCAAAATCTGGAGTTGCTGGTGGGATTCTTCTGGTTGTTCCTAATGTCATGGGCTTGATGTGCTGGTCGCCTCCTTTGGACAAGATGGGCAACAGTGTTAAAGGCATTCACTTTTGTCATGTAAGCAGCATTGCCTTTTTGTGGGGTTTTTTTGTTGTGTGTGGGTGGGTTTTTTTGTTTTTTGTGTTTTCTTTTGGTTTTTTTTTTTTTGCAGCTGATGCTTACTGAGTTTCAGTTATTATAACAGAGATCTTAACGGAATTAAATAGTGATTCATTGCTTTTCGGTACATAGCAAAATTAATCTGATCCAAGGGTGAAAGGCCAAAAATATATGTTTGCGTTTTAGTAATTAATAACGCTGTAATTCAGTGAGCATTTAGAAAATACAATGTCAAAACCACCAGAGAATTTTTTTGTGGAAAAGTTTTGAAAAGGAACACTTCATAAAGTAATGAAGGAGCTGGTCTTCTGTATGCTGCATTAGAACCTGTAGAGCTTCATTTATAAGTGGCTTTTCCTCTCCAGTCATAAAGTAAACAATTTTCAAAGCATTGGAAATTCAACTCTTATTTCATTATAATAAAAGAAAAAGGTTCTCAGTAAATATTGCTGCTCCTGATGTATTTTTAAACAGATTTTTGTAAATAATCTGGCATTAAAAAATGCGTTCATACATCAGACATTCTTGTTGGGCAAGCTCTTTCTAGCTTTGTCTCTTACTCTTGAAGGGCCTCTGGACAGTCTGTTGATAGCAGCGTTACAAGCAGGAGAGATTTTGTAGAGTAGTTAATAATGAATAATAAAGATGTTTTGTGGGAGAGGAGGGTGTAAAATGTTAAAAAATGCTGTCTTCCTTCTTATTTTCTCCCTAAAACCACCCTGTAATACCAATTAATTCATTATAAATGGGGGGCAGGGGGAGTCTCAGAAAAGAATATTGGGCTATCTAGAGCCCCATAGGAAATGTGACATTTTTGGTCATGTTTTGGAAGTTGAACTCATAACCAGGGTCTTTTTCTTTGCCCTGCCTTTTTTTTATTTTCTTTTTCTCTCATTTATTCTCTTTAAGTAGTGATAACAGTTAAGCTGCAGTGATACTAGTTTGGATGAACTGTTCCTGGGGTGAAGACTTGTATGACTAGTCTTCACTGAGCTTATCCACAACAGCATTGGATTTAGAGTATGCAAGGGCATAGTTTGTGTGAATAAGCAGCAGTTAAAACTTTTCATGGTTCTATTTAGCTGACATCTATACAGCTGCAAATTAACAGTACTAAGAAGTTACTAATTCTAGTTTAAATACATTAAAGTTTCATGTTATTTGTTAATTTAAGTAGAAAATAATAGAACAGTAGGTAGGTAAAGTTTTTACTGCATTTATTGTGTTATAATAAGACCTAAAAAGTTATACATGATTATAGCATACAAGTAACACTGATGTAACACTCACTTTAAAAAAATACAACAGCATAGCAAAGTTCTGCAATTATAACCTTTCATGTTATAATTCAAACTGAATTCAAATCAATTATGTCACTCATTTTCTTGTTTTATCCTTTTGATTGAATTTCCATGTTTTATGTACTAGACTAGCCCAGACTGTCCTTCCTGTTTGGGAAGTGTTTATTACAGCTGAAGTGGGAATATATTAAAATAGATATTTTGCAAATTGCTACCTGCTTTGTATTTCTTCAAAAAGGAGTTTAAAGGTGTTTCATATCACTGTTTTATGTTCAAAGGGCCTTATAGACATAGTACTAATTTATTAAATAAGCTTCTATGAGTTACTAGGATATGATGTATAATCTGCATTTGATTGTCACATGCTAATAATAATGCACGTTCTCTAAATATTTGTAGGATCTGGTTTCTTTGTGCAATTTCCATAACTACGATAATCTGAGACACTTTGCAAAAAAGCTTGATCCTCGCAGAGAAGGTGGTGATCAGCGGGTAAGTTAATACATGTTTTTAGTGAGTATTGTCTGTAGACATCAGAAGAAATATGGAAAGTTTTTCTCTAAATGCAGAACTGCTCAATGACATGTATTGCATCAAAGCTTTCAGATAAATTAGTTTACATTATTAGTGGACACTTACCTGGGTGGACTATGCTATCGCAGGGTTTCATATGGTAGAATTTCATATTAGATTTATAACTCCATTTCATGCAGTTCATCTCCCTCGCTGGAGTAGGTATATGATATCTGACAAAAGTTGCAAAGACTTTTACTGTTCTGGTTGCCTTTTAATAAAGATATGACCAGCTGGTGGGCTTAGCCATTGTGTTCTGTGCTGCAACGCCTGAGATGTATGTTTAGCATTTTTTCACAGTGATGTGTCTGAGACCACATGATGTGCTGAGAGTTGCACAGGCAGTGAACTCAGGTGTTATATTGCTGTAGACAAGCACCTGTTACTAAGGAAGCCGTATAAGCAAACTCTGGGAATGAACTGAATCCACTCCAGCTACATGTACAAAAGATAAAAGTGTGAGGGTGCTTGAGATAAGGAAAACCTCTTTGGTTTTAGTACCGTTAATGTTTTAACTAAGGCATGAAGATTTCAACAGGAGAAGATACAGCAGAGTGATTTTTTTTTTAAGTGCTTCTGTTTGCATGTGTACATCTCAAAAAATACTCAATTTAGAATTTTAATTTTTTATAACTGGAAAAGGGAAAATAACAGTTTATGTGAAGAGGTGAAGAACTTGAGTCTGTTAGCATTGCCTGCAAGTATGGATTTTTTTCCTTCAAATACACTAATAAATAATGTATGTTGCTTGAACAACTAGCATTCCTTTGGACCAATGGACTATGAGAATCTCCAGCAAGAACTTGCTTTAAAAGAAACAGTATGGAAAAAGGTGTCACCTGAATCAAACGAGGACATCTCCAGAACCGTAGTGTATAGAATGGAAGGTCGGGGAGAGCAAAACTGAATGAATGGGTTCTAGTTTCATTACATTCTTCATTTTAAAAACCCTCAAGCATCTCTAGATTTAACTTGGATTTGAATATTGTTTGCCTGGTGTTTCATTTTTATATACATTTTGTGTAAATTCTGTATGCTGTACCAAAAAGACTGTCAAAGTTCAAGTGGGCCGAGGAAAGCACGTGCAAAGAGCAAACCCCAAAACTGTTAACTGACTTTTGTGGTTTCTTAAAACACATTTACTTAAAAAAAAAAAAAAAAAAAAAGTGAAAACTTAAATCTGAATGTTTTCAAAGATATACAGCTTTTGTGTATATCTGTTTATTTTTGTTTATAACTGAGAATTTTAAGTAAATTAACTTTAGAGCTAAGCAAGAACTTAGTGTGTCCTGTGATCAGGGTCAGCATGTAAAGATAGAAGAATTTTAACTAAAATATAAAGAAAAAAGTGTCAGCAAAATGCAGAAAATTCATGAATCTCTAAATAATTGTGTATTAAGTGGAGGTAGATTCTGAGTCATGTTATTACTGTATCTCTTTTTTTAATATGACCTTTCAAATCGCTTTGAACAGAAATGGATCATATGGATATGTCATGGTAGTGAAGGTTATATTTTTTTAATCAGGCCTCTAATAATTATTAATGCTAACATTTAAATAAAAGAACAAAAATGTCTGGGGAGGACTGGGAGAAAGGGAGGGGACGAAAACCTGCCTTGTTTGCAAGTTAACTAATGCAGCAGAAAGATTTCTTACCAAAGTATTTTGAGTGTCTTGCTAGCTGCTTGACTGCCAGCTGGTGGTTATGACTCAGAAGTCTGCCTTACTAATAATGCTGTGCTCCACCCTAGAGAGGAATGTAAGCGGGCTTGGTTTTAGAGCAGTAACCAGCCGAGTACTGAGTAGGAAATAAATTCAGAGCAAAGCAAGTAGGTAGATATTAAAGCTGTTTATAAAATTAACTTATTTTTTCAACCGCTAATGTGTGTGCATGTTCATATATACGAGCAGAGGTTTCATTTACACATGAGCGAATTTTTTAAAAGTTACCATTAATTGCTACTTTTTAAAACGATAGTGAGTTTGCACCTCTGTCAGCTTGCTAATAAACAGGATTTGCATTCTTCTACAGGCACCTGCATCTGTTCATCTGCATAATTTGATAATTTAGAGTGTCTTGAGTAGGGTGTAGCTTGAAATGGTGTATGTAAGCTTTGAATAAGCTCAATAAGCGATGCTGGACAGAGGGCACAGACTTGCTAAATTCTTGACACTTGTAGTTATCAGATTCTTCATAATGTTAAAAATCTTAAACTTATTCTCCAGAAGGTTTTCCCCTTTATAAGTTTTCAGATAATTTGATATATCTCACCCCCAGTATGTATCATGCAGAGTCCTGGTTTATAAAACTGTTGAAAACTTGTCCAAGTAATGATAAATGATATTAGCTTGTTGAGTATTTTAAGAGACAATGACAGATAAATCCTTAGTAACACCTCCACCCCTTCTCCCTGCCCCCTCGCCCACTCCCTCTCCCTTTTTAGTTTACCTAAAACTCCAAAGTGCGTTCATGGGTGAGTTTTGCACAAAGGGAGAGTTAGGTTTTTCTTGCCCCTTTTTTGACCCATCTGGATGTTTGTGAATTGAGGAAGATGCCGAAAGCAAAGCTGATGTTCTCTGAGAAAGCAAGCAGTTCTTAATGACTCTGTTTAGGTATTGTTAGTTTTGCATAAACATTTGAAATAAACTCTGACTAAACCCTGAATAATCTTCATCTAGCAGTGTATTGCAAAAGGATGAGCTTCCTGTCATTGAAGCCGAGGATTAAAATGTTTAAGCAAAACAATACAGAACATCAATTTTCAGTGACTTTGAAGTCCTGTTGGGATGAAGAGGTAAATCTGTGGTACAGATGTCATTAGTAAATGTCAGTTGTAAATTGCTGAATAATAGCTGGTTTATAATCTTATCACTGATGATAAGGTTAGGCTTGTCAGTGCTTATCTTGAAAATAAAGTAAAATAAGTAAAGGCAAAGTCTTGAATTATAAAAATGTCTCACCTGTTTGAGAATTTTACAGTAAACTAGTAGTTACAGAGACATAACTAGTATTCAGATCCTGCAAAACCACGTCTTTACCTGAAATAGCCGCAATTGTAAGAGGGAACGTAATGTGTCTGTGCTGCTAATTAAATTAAGTATTTACAGTGATGACAATGTTGCTGGTTAAATTACTGGTTTAATTTAAAAAAGGAAAATGTATGATGCAGGATTTGCTTGATCTAATTCTACACACGTCATCTTCTGATTTTTAGTACTGTTTGAAGCTAATTCTAAAAACGTGATTGAAGGTGGAAAATTGTTCCATCTGGGCTTCAACTTGAAAATAAAAATCTTTACCATATTTATGTTTGTCAGTTACATACAAAACTTGTGTTTGAGAAAACTCCTGCATGAGAAATACAAAATTAAGGTAACTACTAGATCTTAATATACATAATAAGAATATTTAGGGTACAGCTTACACAATCTTTACTTTAGATATATATATTACAGTTCTGTAATATATGCTTTTGAAGCCTGTCTCAAAATTTAAGCTAGCCTCTAGTGAGGAAGGGTCAGGAGGAGACTCCTGTGGACCAATTATTTTGTAACTTGCCTACACTCACAATTTCTTGTTCTGGCCTGCTGTGTCTGCAGGTGGCTCTTGTTCGTGGCTGGGTACACAGATAGCTGGGACCACAGTTAGGTCTGCCATGACGACTTACCCATGCCTGCATTATGCTTGGTGAGCAGGTCTGAAAGAATGCGATGGTAGAGGCTAGTCATTGAATGTTTCAAAGTCTGCAATGGTTTTAGTGTTCACCTGTGCTACAGTAATAGCAATTCTTGATATTCAAGCATTTTAGCTGTTTGTTTGTTTTTCTTTGTCAGCATCATTGACATTTCATTAGAAATGTAAATGCTTTTTAAAATTTTATTTTAGCATTTGTGTTGTACTTTTTTGGCTCAGTTGTTAAGTTACCTGTCTCATTTTCCATTTTTCGTTTGCATTGTATGTTATTTATGTATCTCAATTTCCAGCATGCTTATTTTTGTATTGTTTAATAAATTTATTTTAAGCTGATTTTTATTGTATTTTTTTTCTCTCAATGGAGAACAGATTTGTTCAAACACGTTTTTTGAGACTGAAGTGAGATGGCGAGCATTCTGCTCTAAAAAAGATAAAGTTCTGGAAAAGTAGGTGAAATAAGCACGTTTAGTTAAACCAGTCATTGAAAACATTCCTAAGACCTCTTAAACATTTTGTACAATAACCTAATTATTTTTCTCTTCAACTTTTTAATATAGCAGTTCAAACAAAAATCAAAATAGCAAAACTTTCTCACCGTGACTTCTCTAATAAAAATGTCATGGTGCAATAGGTTATTAATGTCGCAGTGTAGTTGTATGGTTTTGAAGATACTAAGTCATTTGGAAAATATGTGGTTAGTGGCACCAGTGCGAGGGTAGTAACTGTTCATTCTGAGCATTATCAAGTGAAAAACGTAGCTTGTAATAAACCACCCACAGCCAGGATGATTCCAAGGCAAGGTTTCATCACTAGAGACGTGCATGTACTGAGGATGGCCAAAATTATTAATTTAGCTTTTCTGTATATTGGTTTATAAACTGCAGTTACTTGCACTATGTTTTTAAAATTATCTGTTATGTTCATTGTACGTGAAACTCTTCTGATACATGATATTTTATTTCTGAATGTCATAAAGGTGAGGAAAAGTAGAAGAGTAATAGATATAAAGAGAGAACCATGGGTGGTTTACTGTAGAATTATTTTGGCTCTTATATTTCGGGTTTCATTGTGCATTTGTGTCAGAAGACCAGTGAGTGGGTAGATGAATAAACAGGCAACGGAGTCAGAAGAGGGTGGGCAGGAGGGCGGTATAGAGTATGTTGGTTTTTCATTTTTCTTACTTCTCTTGTCTTGATACATACATGTCATTGATGCACAGTAGTTA